ATAAAAGTAGAGCAAATATAAATGTTTTTTTAAAATATTTACATAACTCACAAAATTACATTGAAATTCTAACAAATGAAGTAAGTCATTTCTACAAATATTTTAATTTTTTTTTTTTCTAACTCAATTTATCTATCTTTCCATTAATAATTCAGGTTAGAAAGCTTTTGACAAGTATATTTGGCATATCAGTTCTTAGAATATATGGAATATCTCAAAATCCTGATACATCTGACTATATTTTGGTTCAAAGGAATTTTACATCGATGAGTGGAAATAAAAAAATTGATGATTTCATTCAAGAAATACAATTAAAAATAAGTAACTTTGATGAAATTGTATTTGAATGGATACCATACAATCAACTTTATGAAATTAATGAAATAAAAAAAAATGGTTCTATAACAGTATATTCAGCAATATGGGAGAATGGTCCATTTATTTTAAGAAAAAATAATTATAAATATACAAGAGATTCAACTAAAACAGTCGCTTTAAATTATTTACATAATTCACAAAATTCTGTTGACTCTCTAATAAATGAGGTATGACATTTTTATAAATATCCTTAATACTATTAATAATATTAATATATTTCTCACTTTGCTTTATATTTAGGCTAAAAAATATTTAACAAAATCATGGGATGGAGCAAATAATGATATATATGGAATATCTCAAAATCCAAATACAAATAATTATATTTTAGTTTTGGTATGGACAAATTGGTTAAGTTGGTAATTTAAAATCATATATTTATTATATTTATCTACTTACTATAATAATGCAAGGTACATAATATAAATTATATTTTTTATTTTGTTTTTATTTCACAGAGAAATACATTATCTAAAATATAAAGTGAAATTTTTTTATAAATGTCATGTGACTTACACGGAAGTGATCAGCCAATTACTACTTGCACAATTTTTCTAATTTTTCTGTCATACAGGTCATAACAGCTTGATCATAATGTAGTCATCTTGACCTTCCTTATTGTATATTATGTAGTTCAAATCAGAGCCAGGGCAAGGAAATGATTTTGAATAATTTTTTTGCTTGATACGTATATATTTTTGTTGCTAGCCCACATTATCGGCCTCGAACTGCTTTTCCCTTTCATCTGTATTTTTTAGGAGTAGACGTCCTTCAGATACTGCGAGACATCAGGGCAGAGAGTGGCAGACAGAGAAATTTCTTACCGACACTAGTTGTGTCACCAGATGGAAAATAGAACCAGACTTAGAAAAGCTAAATAAAATTTACAGTTTTAAAACAGATGATTTGTATAATATCGTTATAATACCTTTGAAGATATCGACAATTTGATGAATTCTAATTGGATCATTTCGTGATATTGATTTTTAATGAAGAAATTTTCGGTAATTAGTACAATTAACTTGTTCAACAGAAGTGACCGTAATATAAATTTTTTTTTTTTAGTTATGTCTACATGTCCTATTGTCCTGTATAAAAGATAACTATTTAAATTTAAATAAATTGTATATATTTAATATGAGAGTGCACATGAAACTCTTAAAATGTTACGCGACGTGTCGACGCGATGATTAATTATTGACAAATATAGATAGATTGATCACATCAACTGTAGTGCTGTAATGAGTCATTGTAAACAAAATATACTATTGCTATTAAACATATAAAATGACCTTATTTCCTTTTTTTTTTTCTTACAAAAATTTTTTTTCTTACCAATAAAATTTTCTTACCAATAAACACACAAACCAACAAAGAAATATATTAGAAATTTTTGCGAAATCAAAAATTTTTCAAGCGTTACATACCTAACAATACGCTTCAAAGTTTTTTACATGATGATATGTTTATAGACTTAGACATGAACTTAAAACCCTATCACTATGTCTCCAATATGAATAAAAGGCTAATAATAATGTTGTTTCCGAGTTCTAAACTCTTCTAACAAAAAAAAGATGACGGGACGGCCCATACGAACAACAAAAGTCGGTCAAGAATAAACAACTACTTTGCTTTCTTGTGTGGCGCAGTAACAGTAACTTACGAAATCATCTCCAGGTAGAGAGGGTAGGTAATTTCATGTTTATCGTCAGACTTTGGATGACTGTAAGGGTTACCTGCTTAACGAGTGCACTAATCTTTTTGTACACTTTGTACTTAAGCATTTCTGGTCAAGCCAACATTAGTAGTCATTAGTTGGTGAAAAAAAGAAGTAATGAAATTTCATTAGATCTTTCACCCGAATAGAAAATCAAGTGGAACAAGAAACTGAGGTCTTAAATTCACAAGTGAGCGTGTTATTTTTATCTGTTCATGTCTGGTTGTCTTCAATTATAGGATACATGGATAGTATCTCTGAGGTCAATACACAAACATGATAGTATCCAGTGAGGCCTACAGCGTTTAGTGAGGAGAAATAGGGTTTACCATTATTTTCGAAACGCCTTTTACCATTAATTTCGCCGAACACCCCTATGCTGAGGATATTATCTCCACGTGCTTTAATCCTAATAATTGTTGGCTTCTGGTTGTGTTTATGCCTGGTTGTCTTTGATTATAGGATACACGGGTAGTACTTTGAGGTCAATACACAAACATGATAATGTCTGGTGAGGCCTACAGCATTAAATAGGGTTTTTTACCATTATTTTCGAATGCCTTTTATCATTAATTTCGCCGAACACCCCTATGCTGAGGATATTATCCTTTAATCCTTAATTGTTGGCTTCTGGTCGTTAGATGATAATGCTCGATGCTTGCTTAACTGAGTGTACATAGGTTAACAATTTTCTCTTTTTCAGTTTTATAGATCAATTATAAAATAAATATAAAGACTACTGGAGCAAAATTTTAAAATTCCGGACAGTATCTAGTACCTTCTAATTAGTTATAGACACATGCTAGTAAGTATTTGCACGTTTTATTTTCTTAAAGGTTATTCATAATAGTACAATTCCATTGACACTGCAATCTCTGCTTTTATTTACCTAAATTTTTTGATAAGACTTTGTTTAGAATCATTCGTATTAAAATATATTTATAAAAATTTTTGTATCAATGTATAAAATTTTTCCTTAATTAATCTATCTATTAAAAAAAATGGTGTTTGTGTCCGCTTGTTCGGCAAGTCATGTTGTACATCTAGTTCAATTCCGGTTAATCAATTATTTATTTTTTTAACCAAATGGTTCGTTCTTTTTTTTTCAAATTTCCCCTTTTCTCTTTCGAAACACCTTTTTCTTTCCCTTTTTTTTCTTTTTTTAAAAATTTTAATTCGATCTTTTTTTTAGACCATATTATTAACGGTCTTTTTGGACCAAATTATTGTCCTTTTTTTCAGAATTTTTTTCAGTACTTATTTTTTTTTTAAAACCGATTTATTTCTTTATCCTTTTTCTTTTCCCCCAATTTTTTTTCTTTTTCTTTCGAATTTTTTTTATTTTTTCTCTTTCCTTTTCAATTTCTTTTTTCAACCCGATTTTTCTCTTTATTCCTCCTCACAAAATTTTTTTTTCATTTTGTTTTTTTCCGGTTGCTTTTTTCCAATCCAAAATTTTTTCCCCTTTTCCTTTTTCGGTTTGGCTTTTTTTCTTTCAAGCCGAATTTTTTTTTTCCCAAATACATTCATTCACCATTTAGGTTTGGATCGGTGATCAGATCGATGTTGCGGCTCCACGGCAATTTCCTTTTTTCCCAATTTTTATTATTAATAATAATGTTATTTTATTTTATCAAACTCAATAATAAACTAACATTAACAATAGATCATTATAATTAATTTTTCTGAGAATTTTTTTTTCATATTAATTAGTGAGATATTTTTTTTTCTAGAGGATGTAATTTTTTTTAATGCCATTATGGAATTTTTTAAGATAAAAAAAATGATTTTTTTTGTAACTTATACAAAATCGTTTTTGTAATGAATTTGTAAATTTTCACAGTACTGCAAAATTTGTTTCGTGTGATAAATAAAATTTTCATTTAATAATAATATTTCATATACTTAGTTATTTGTATAATCATGCAAATTGTGTAATTTATTACATTTATTTCCTACTAATGCCATCATAATAATAGTAAAAATTAGACCTATTTACACTGCATGGCAAATGGAATAAAAGTGTGTTATTATTACTCTCTTACTTGATGAGCAAGTATCATCCCCGGCGCAATGCGACGGGTTACGCCTAGTTTTTATTATAAAATAATGCTAAAGGATTAATGTCAGTGGAGTATTTATTAACGATTCAGATTATCTCACCAAAGATGATATGCGAATTTGCGTAATATTTTTTACTGGACATACTACGAAATGAAATAGTCTTTATTAGAAGAATTTGTCAAGTTCTTTAAAATAGGTGTAACTAATAGATGCATACATAGGTTCATATTGACAATTATCAACAATTTAAGCTTTAATATATAGTTGTACGCTACTAAACCTTATAATATTCTTTTCTTTTTTAGATCTATCTTCTCTCTGTCTAGGTCTTCTCTTTATTAGGTCTTCTTAGGCCCTTTCTTTATTTACGTCTTCCTTTAAATATTGTAATAAATTGTCAGAATACGAAAAAATATTGACAGGTAGTCAGATATCATCATTCTGAAAATCTTATTTCAAAATTGAAAAATATTATGATAATAATACTAAGATGAAATTTTGTTTAAAATTAAAAAACCGTGAACGTTATCTGTTATAGTTTTATTTTTTAAGATATGATGCAAATTTAATATACAGTATGTTTTATGACAAAAGTATACGTTAAATAATTATGTTTTAATATTTATTGCTATTTCTTTCCTCCACCTTTTTCTTTTACTATTGTCGACAACGGGGATCTTTTTCTTGTAAATCATGTACATCTTGTACATGTTTTTCACCATATGAAGGAATTCTAATCCTTCACTTATTTTTTTATTTGCAAATATTTCTATGTCATCAGGATCAAGCATTTCATTGGTTGTAATGACTATTAATTTAGATTTTGCTCTACTTAATGCTATCAAAGAATTCTTACTTTGTCTTCTTGCAATGGTGATTGCAATTGTAATGCTGTTGGATTTGCTAAATTTGATGGTGTGAACTGTTGCCCATTTGCGAGAGATGTTTGCATTGATGAATATATAGCATTATTATTAGCAAATTGAAGAACATTTGGATTCGCACATAGCCAAGTGGTGAGCTGAAAGATCGTATCCATGTCATTAAAACATGGTGGAAGTGTAGGAGAAGCAAATGTATTAATCAAACATAAAGAAGCTGATGTATTTAAATCTCTTGATTCTGGACGCGAATGAGCTGATACACTATCAAGTTCATCTGTATTTCTATGAACTTCACGTAAAGGAGTTGATGTATCCAAATTCCTAGATCTTGAAACTTCACGTAAAGGAGTTGAGAGATCCGAATTCCTAGATTTTGAATGTAAAAGAGCCAATGAATTTTCAAGATCGTCTGTATTTTTAGTATGAACTTCACATAAATGAGTTGATATATCTGAATTCCTAGATCTTGGAACTTCATGTAAAGGAGTTGAAAGATCTGAATTTCTAAATCTTGGACATGAAGGAGCCAATGAATTTTCAAGATCATCTGTATTCCTATTAATTTCTTGTAAAGATTCTGGATATGAAGCTGATGTACTATCAAATTCATCCATATTTTTATGAATATCACGTAAAGAAGCTGATGTATTCAAAGCCCTAGATTCTGGACGTGGACTGATGCACTATCAAGATCATCTAAAAGAATAGAAGTACACATATTGTTTATTTGGAGATAACAAATTAAAAGGACAAGAAAATGATTATTCCATTAAATCTTTACCATAATCACTATCTTCTAAAATTTTATTTAAAAGATGTGGATTCTTTTTAGTAAGAGATGTGTCACTTTTTTAACGTCCATGTCCACANTACTAAACCTTATAATATTCTTTTCTTTTTTAGATCTATCTTCTCTCTGTCTAGGTCTTCTCTTTATTAGGTCTTCTTAGGCCCTTTCTTTATTTACGTCTTCCTTTAAATATTGTAATAAATTGTCAGAATACGAAAAAATATTGACAGGTAGTCAGATATCATCATTCTGAAAATCTTATTTCAAAATTGAAAAATATTATGATAATAATACTAAGATGAAATTTTGTTTAAAATTAAAAAACCGTGAACGTTATCTGTTATAGTTTTATTTTTTAAGATATGATGCAAATTTAATATACAGTATGTTTTATGACAAAAGTATACGTTAAATAATTATGTTTTAATATTTATTGCTATTTCTTTCCTCCACCTTTTTCTTTTACTATTGTCGACAACGGGGATCTTTTTCTTGTAAATCATGTACATCTTGTACATGTTTTTCACCATATGAAGGAATTCTAATCCTTCACTTATTTTTTTATTTGCAAATATTTCTATGTCATCAGGATCAAGCATTTCATTGGTTGTAATGACTATTAATTTAGATTTTGCTCTACTTAATGCTATCAAAGAATTCTTACTTTGTCTTCTTGCAATGGTGATTGCAATTGTAATGCTGTTGGATTTGCTAAATTTGATGGTGTGAACTGTTGCCCATTTGCGAGAGATGTTTGCATTGATGAATATATAGCATTATTATTAGCAAATTGAAGAACATTTGGATTCGCACATAGCCAAGTGGTGAGCTGAAAGATCGTATCCATGTCATTAAAACATGGTGGAAGTGTAGGAGAAGCAAATGTATTAATCAAACATAAAGAAGCTGATGTATTTAAATCTCTTGATTCTGGACGCGAATGAGCTGATACACTATCAAGTTCATCTGTATTTCTATGAACTTCACGTAAAGGAGTTGATGTATCCAAATTCCTAGATCTTGAAACTTCACGTAAAGGAGTTGAGAGATCCGAATTCCTAGATTTTGAATGTAAAAGAGCCAATGAATTTTCAAGATCGTCTGTATTTTTAGTATGAACTTCACATAAATGAGTTGATATATCTGAATTCCTAGATCTTGGAACTTCATGTAAAGGAGTTGAAAGATCTGAATTTCTAAATCTTGGACATGAAGGAGCCAATGAATTTTCAAGATCATCTGTATTCCTATTAATTTCTTGTAAAGATTCTGGATATGAAGCTGATGTACTATCAAATTCATCCATATTTTTATGAATATCACGTAAAGAAGCTGATGTATTCAAAGCCCTAGATTCTGGACGTGGACTGATGCACTATCAAGATCATCTAAAAGAATAGAAGTACACATATTGTTTATTTGGAGATAACAAATTAAAAGGACAAGAAAATGATTATTCCATTAAATCTTTACCATAATCACTATCTTCTAAAATTTTATTTAAAAGATGTGGATTCTTTTTAGTAAGAGATGTGTCACTTTTTTAACGTCCATGTCCACAGCCACGTCCACAGTTAGCAGTTTGAAATTGTTCATCTTGAGATGTATTATTTCGTCCACGTCCACATTTGGTTTTGGATTTTTTGTGAGAAGATTCATCTTTTCTAGTACTGCTACGTCCATGAGTTTGAGGCATTTTTAATTTGAATATTTATGTAAATAAAATATTTATTTTATTTTATTTGTCAAATATCTCTTGATTAAAAATTAAATAATATTTTTTTTTGCTAATCATGTACTTTTTTTAATTTTTTAAATAGTATTTTTTTTTCACTAATCACATACTTTTTTTTAATTTTAAAAATAGTATTTTTTTTTTGCTAATCATGTACTTAAAAATTGATCTTAAATAGTATTTTTTTTTTTTTCGCTAATCATATACAAATTAACTAATTATGTCAGTATGTATTTTTAGTTAATTTAGACTATATTTAGTTAGTTTAATTCAATATACAATATTTTTTTTCGTATGCTTTTTTTTAATTTAATATAAAAAGTTAGTTAATTTCTACTGACTATTTAATTAATTTATACTATAATAAGCTAGTTTAATCAATGTACAGCACTTATTTTCGTATACTTTTTCAATTAATATAAAAGCATTAGTCAAATAAAGTTTAATTATTTTCTTTTATTATGATATTATGTAATTGATTTAATTAAAATATTACAAGTATCATACGAAATAAATTGATTTTTCACACACTTTTTTTACTTGTTAAAATGTTTCAAAATCGTTAACTTCATTTAATCCACATCATACTTATTTTAGACACCGTCATAGCAAAATTAAAGGTATCTTTACAAATATCAAATGAAGAAAATGAAAGAAATGCATCTGAAGATACAACTCAGATATACATTCATTTTTCTGAAAAATTTTTTATAGATGTAGTATTAGAACTGGCTCACCCTTTAGAACAATTATTTTGAACACTTGGGCTCCAGTATAGACCAGTACTTTGGCGCACTGCTTTCATCCCACCTTCCCATTCAGCACTAGTAAGAAGATAATGAACAGAATAACCCTTTTTAGCTGTTCTTTTTATTTCCCAACAAGATGCTTATATGTTGTGGATGTCTTAGACTCCACTCACTCCAGTATGATAGCTTCTAGTATAGACATGATTTCTATTTTTCAGTTCCTGGTATACAAATGACGTAGGAGAATTATTTAGATACTTGCGATTGTATGGGGATATTTTATCATTGAAATGATTAATATTTTACTTTTATTACTTTTATTATCATTGATTAGTTTGAATAGTGGCTCAACTTGAAGCCAAAGTCAAGCTGAACCAAACCGGATCCCATCAACTTGAAAGCTCAAGTTGAACAAAGCCAAGTTGAACTGGCAGGCTGATTGGACTGATGGAGTCAATGGCAATTTATTATTAAAAAAAAAAGATATCAGGATTTTTTTGTGTACTTCAATGATCAGACTAAGTTATTACTGATACATTTTTTTTTTAAAAAAGACATTAAAAAAAAAGATTTTTTTTTTGTAATGTTTTTTTTAGACCAAGTTTTTTACATTTTCTATATATTCTATATACTCAGTTTTATTTTTAACTATTCTTGTGTTCATTTTATTTTTAGATTTAGAGAACTATGGAAAGTATAATGGTCAGAAGAGAGTATTGTAATTTTTACAGAAAAATATTAACTATCTTTTTCTTTACTATTTAGGACACGAATACCAAGTTTTTGGACTTGTGAACTTTGGATTTAAGACATAAAAAGTATGTTGGTTAGAATTTAGAAGTAGGAGAATATAATGATTAATTTATTTGTGTGCATTTTTTTTTCTTTTATTTTTTAGGGCGCGTATTTATTGGAATACCAGTTTTGGACGTCTGAAGTTCCAATTTCTGAACATGGAAGGTGGGTTGGTTGAAATTAGAGAAATTTAGGAAACGTTAGTAGAATGTTACTAATGTTTCTTTCTTATTTTATAGGTACCGGCTCCTTAGGTAAAGGGAATGGAAGGTAATATTATTATTGAAAGAAAAGATATTATTATCTTTTCTTTTATTTTAGGTGAGCACAGCCAACTGGGGAGCTGGAGAGGGATTAATTCTTTGAAATGGTACTTACGTTTTTAATTTCTTTTATGAAAATTACAAAAATTAGATCGAAATATAATATTAGTTTCATCGACTCCATTACCCCATTGACCCCTATTGGCTTATTTTTTCAAGCCGAACTGAACTGAATGACTTCGGAGCATCAAGTCAAACCAAATTGACCCCAGTGTGGCTTGGACTTAACTTAATAGTGTACATTTGTAACAGTCATGATCTTAGAAACGATATGTACATTCAAAATATGTATTATTATATTATTAGATATTAATTATTTAGAGTTTCGAAAATAGTACTTTAATACAATTATATTTAATTTTTACAATTTTCATAATATCAATTTATTAAATTTTTAAAATTTTGATAATAAATTGTTAATATCCATAATATTAATTTATTTAATTTCGATACTACTAATTTACTAATTTATTAAAATTTTGATAATATTAATTTAACTATAATTTATAATTTTGATAATGTAAATTTAAAATTTCGATAATATAAATTTAAAATTAGATAATATAAATTTAAAATTTTTTGTTAATATATTTATGGCTTCGAAATGAGATCGATTAAAATAAACTATCGATCGTCTTAATATGCAGTAACTGCATCTTGAAGAATTTTAATTAAGTCGAAACTGAGTTTTGGCCATAACTTTGCTTTAAATTTAATATGAACATGCGATTTGGTCAAGATTTGGTTTCAATTTAAAAAATTTCTGCAAAGACGTTCTCGGAAGAATGCTATTTCTCGGTAAATAACGAAGATCCTTTTGATCTAGAGGAAGATCAGTAAATCTGTGTCATCATTCTTTTCTCCATGCTCTGTTTTTATTTCTGTAGCTGGTGATGTTCGATGAGCTAGTTTATTTTCATGCTGCAAATTTACAGATCGTTTTATCCTGTAACTTAGTCATGTCTTCAACAACGCATTTTTATCTAACTCTGTATCATGCTGAAAAACAATAATTGACATCAATTATGATAGCTAAAAAAAAAGAAAAAAATTATTTCTATAGTTTAATACAGACCACCGTTCCCAGCCTTGAAGCTTCATATTGAGCAATATATCATTTTCTTGTATTTTCATCTAACCTATAATATGTGTGGATAAAATGGTATTTAGTAGATGAAAAATTAGGATCAAAAGTAATCAAGAAGTTGATTGCTTACTATTAACTTTTTATCATCACCCGAACCTTCACCACCAAGTACATGCAAAGCACGCAGTACACTGTCTATCAACATCAGCATATTCCGCAAATTCAAAAACCTTTGGATTTCCGGATTGGTCTTTAACTCGTTTCCAAGATTTTAATGTACCACAAGTCTTTGCAATCGCCAGATAAGCAAATAAAAAAAAAAACAAAAATAAATTGTCAGCTAAAGTATTTGATAAAATCACACCTGAAGATGTTCATGCGCCCAATAAGTGCATTAAAACTTTCAAGACTAAGATAAATTCGAAGGCTATCTGGGAAAAAGTTTTTAGCATCCAAAATAATATGCGTTTTAGGTCGTAAGAAAATTATATAAAAGTTTTTTCTTAATTTGATAATATAGTGTACATTAAAATCCCCATCCCTTCGATTGGAAAATCATCGCCAACTTCGATATATAGCATTCATTTGCCCACCAAAAAAATTAAATAATTGATCACTACCTTTGAGATTTTTTTCCATCCAATCATCAGTTACTCCCGGTGATATCCCTCCAATGAAAAGAGTTGTCAATTTTTGCCATTGGTGATATACCAAAGGTGTACCATAACCTGCCGTGGTCTAGGAGCCATATAAGCTGTACGTTGTGTGGAAGTACTACCAGAAGTATAGTCGCCCCGCGAGGTTTGTCCATAGGTAAGAGGACTGCCTGGTGGAGGTCGTTCGTAAGGAGCTCGATATTGAGCTATGAAATAACAGTAAGTAATATTTAAATATAAATATAAATGAAGAAATCAGAACGGTAATTAGGCGACACAAAGTGGTAAAAATGGTTTTCATAGTCCGGCCGGGTCAGTTTTTGTTAGGTCTTAAAAAAAATTTTTTTATATTATTACTATGCCGGGTAGAACTTTTTAAAAATTGAAAATAATTTTGCATATAAAATTTTCGAAAAAAAATTAAAAGTCGAGTTGTTATTGATGTCATTATTAATAATCACGTGATTAATTTTTTTTGTGTCCGTACACAACATATTTAATCATGGTATAAAGTAATCATATAACAGATACTAGCGATGTAATTCCGAGTTAATCTGAACAGATATTAGTCCAATTATTTAAAATTTACACAAAACTACATACTAAATTTGGTATTACTTAATTTCGAAATGATGAAATCCTTATCCAGTTGTGAAAGGTAAAAGATCACTTATTTGTGAATATAAAAGTTTGTAAAGCACATTTCTATTTAATTCTTTTAAAAAAGAAATTGGTACAAGTTATAAAGAAAACAATATCGAAGTTTTTCAAAAACTTATGATTTCTAAAAGAAAAAAGAAATGAAATGAAAAAAAATTGAAATTGAAGGAGGATGAGGTTAATAATTTAATAATTTAGGACTTTATGACTAGTAACAATATATGTAAATTTTTTTTTTTTATATAAAATATTCTATAATCTATAATAATGCGATAAATTATCATGCTTTGAATAATGCTAAATAAGTGAGAATGAATAATGCTTGATAAAAAGTTTCTAATATACAAAACATGATGATGAATAAACTACGGTCCGTCCCCATCAGGAAACGAGCCATGTCCAGGAGATGTAAACATAGCCTTGACTTTGCCGTCTTTTTCTTTCGATGGACTTTCGTCTTTTTGAGCATTTTTTCTTTAATGATTAAATTAATAAATTAATAGATTTCTTTCGTTGATTTTTAAAAAGTATTAATATTGTATTTGTATTTACCTCTTAATTAATTGATCTAAATTCAAAGGAGAGGCTGTTACGATAGTAGCCATAAGTACAATCAAGAGAGCAAAGAAGATTTGACGC